TCATAGTGTTTGTATTTTGCTCACTTATATCCAGTTATCATTAAAGCTCTGTAATTCCTCATCACAATCTTCTTGTCCATTGTCTGCATCTGGTTCCTTATTTTACCACAAACATGATGCATTCCTTCCATGCAGAAACATTACAAGCTTGTGGTGCTGCCTGTGCTGGAATGGCATTCAGGATAAACAGACTGCCATCAAAAATGAGATTTTTCCTTACCTTTTAAAAAAATAATTAATAGCGGGAGACAACGCTGGCATTCTCTCTACAAGACTAAGAACTCCAGCAAATAATTTATTTATTTAATTATACCATACTTAGACACTACACTCTGTCTTGACATCCATGCAATGGGGACAATTGTAACCAGCTGAAAATGGAATCAAAATGGCTGCCTTCTTTTACTTATTTCATTATTTATTCATTTCTATGTAAAATGGTGTCTCATTTGATAACATAACAGCACAAACATGATGAAATGCTTAAGGTCACTATTTTTACACATAGAAGAGCAACACTGTGGCATTTGGTTTACATATTTCTGTAGTACATTAAATATAGCTATTGTAGATTTCTCCTCTGAGTAGTGTAAACAGAGTTGCTTTCCCAACATGGAACTACTCTCCGGTCAAAAAACATTCTTTGGCAGAGACATATTTTGAATATCCTACCAGCCATGATAATTTTAATTATGGATCGCATCACTCACTGAAGAAAAATAATTCTTCTATGTGTTTTAATACTTTCTGGCTAACAGTGGAGCTCCATGGCACAAACGCTTGAGTGGCACACACAACACTTGTTTCAAGGTTAAATTCATGACTGTTTCTGCTTACTGAGCAGTGAAGGGGACCATATACTCTGTCATAAGAGCTGATCCAATTGAATAGTTTCAGAAACTCCCTCCCCCCACACCTTTCCAGTGTTAGATCAGGTGGTCTCTCTTATTTGTACACCCACAGGAAGAACTGGGCTCTTTTGTTTACCTTGTTAGCATGAGCACTCACTGCTGTTCACTGCCGAATTTGGGCCACACTGCTAATCACTGTTGAACTTGGTTCACAAGTAACGCACCATAACGGCATGTCATGCATTTTCGTTAATACTGGATGTCTGTGCAGATTCTCAGTCATCCAGGCCATAGTACACTGAAAAAATTTAGAAAAAAATCAACTGGACTAGATTTCTAGGTCGAAGACGTTTCACCAGGTTCAAGTAACAGGGAACCACAGTTCAGAACTGATGAAGCCTCTTGGATGAGAGGTGAAACGTCTTCGACCTAGAAATCTTGTCCAATTGATTTTTTCAATTAGTACTGGATATTAAATGGTGTTTTTTTAATCTATCATTTCAGACATACTGGTGGTAGAATTGGTGCTAAGGTAGAGTAGGCTACGTTAGCAGCATGGCTAACCAAAATCCAATGGAAAATCCCAGGCTGGAAAAGTGAATGAAGCCACTTGTGTCGACTCGTCACAATGTGGACGTATCGTACACACCTACAACAACCCCCAACCCAACACCAATGCAACTCCATGCATTACACACACAAGGGAAATGCGTTTCTACCGCAGTCTAAATGCCCACTATGTCTCCCTCTCTCTCCTCTCTGCGACTTCTTTTCTAGTATAACCTGGCCCTTACCATTTCTACAGTAATTCTCTGTAATACATGGTATTACATGTCAGCAACAGTGTCACCTGTTACTACAATATATTTACCTTCTCCTTAGTGCCACCCTGTGTGGTTTCAGGCTTGGTACGAATGGTAAATGGAGACGCAAGCCTCAGCAGGATCCCGTGGAATGAAGGCTCCATCTTGGGTGAGACAATCTCAAAACAGTCCCTGAATGAGAGGCTCCGGTGAGACTCAGGGCGAGCCTGCCTCCTCAGTCCTTCTCCAAGCTGCAGTAGCTCCATGCGAGGCCCCAGGACCAGGTGAAATGGAAAGGCACGGCAAAATGTGGCCAGGCCAATGCGCAGATCACTTGGGTTAGTGGAGAGTGAGGGGGGTGGGCGTTTAGTGCTCAATGAGGCAGCATTTGGGAGGGAGGAGAGGGAAGGAGGACATGTCTCGAGTATTTGGAAGGACAGGCAAACTGTGGGAACAGAAGTTAGGAAAGGAGAAGGAGGGGAGGGAGATGAGGAAGGTGAGGCTGTTGGGGATGCAGTTGGAGTGGGGGTTGTAGAGTCACCATCTGTGTGTTCTGTATCTTCACTAGGCATTAAGGGAGTTAAAGGTGGCACCTCTTCCACCTCAACTTCTGAATGAAAGATGCGCCTGGCAACAGCTCTGATCAGCCCTGGCATGACCAATCCAACAACAGGGGCAGGGTTGAAACAGTGAAGAAGCAACACTTTCCCTCTTGCATGTGTTTCGCCTCGCTCTCCAACTTTGTCCAGTTTTTTCCTCCCTTTCTCCTCCTCATAGGGATCCTTGCACTGGAAGGAGGGGCTCTCAGATGAGGCACGACGCCCGGTGGAGGTGCGAATGTGTTCCAATATGGCATCAAAGCCATTGAAGAAGTCCTGGAGGTTCCCTCCTACTGCCCGAAGCACTCGTTCATTTTCTTCAAAGCAGAGGCCAAAGAATTCCTCTCCAAAATGCTCTCGCAGCTCACAGAATGGTACTCCTAGGAGAGAGGAGATGCACAACACCAATGTCAGAGATACTATATAGAGAACTATACACCTAACCTGGCCCCATACCTACACTATGATTAAGGAGACGTCATTGAATATTTCACAGATTTGCATCTTGGCACACAGGTTTTCAACACTATTCCTAATTGCAGAAATCTGCACTTGGATGTGTGACAGCACCGTTTTGATCTGATTGGAAGTAAAACCCAGGCTGGTATCACCAATACCAATAATTTGTGCAAAAAACACAAGGAAAAGAGATGAGTCCAGACAACCGATGGAGAAGAGGAGATATTAGATGCATTTATAAGGGATAGCTGGATTTATTAACAACAAATGGTGCCACCCTGGTCACATTACTGTGAAGGGACACTTCTGTTGTCAAGACTTTGAACTGTTAGCTGTGGGACTGTGTCCATACTACATGCCCAGGAACTTTTCCCATGCATCTTAGCTGTTGTTTACAGCCCTCCTCCTTGCAAAATGTGCTTTCTTGTATTTTTTGCATTGTATTTCTTGTATAATTAAAAGTTAAATCTTCTACAGTATTGAGCACATGTTACAAAGCTATTTCCTGTGGAGGTTAATAATGTTTTTTTTTATTCTCACTGGCTCAGGTATTTACAGAGCCATATCGCATATGACAATGGCAGGTGGAAGGAGAAGTAGATCCTATCAACCGGGTATTAGACTATACTGATGACAGTGTAATTACTGAATTTAGATATTGGTCTTTTAATATGCGAATTGATCTTAGAACAGGAAAAGTTGGGATTGGAAGCACTGATATTTCAGGACTGATCCACACAACACTAGTGTATAATAATTTCCTGTTACAGTTGGCTTTTAAATGCAACCTAACGTTACTTCTGTGTTGTGATATGTTTTGGCAAATATTTAAATTCAGCAAAAAAATTATTTTAAGCATATATGCCAAAGAAAATCTGTGTTCAGAGGAATCAAACATCAAAGCTTCCTAAAATAATGAATAAAATGAATGAGATAAAATAATCATGTCAGGAAAAACAGGATTAAAGGATTGTAGCTAAATGAAAATCAACATTTAATATAATAAACTATAACATAAAACAAAACCTGAAAAATCCAAAATGTGCAAGTATACAAAAGCAATCTGGGAAGCATTAGTGTAGATGGCACAGAGCACAATTACAGAAACAGCCTGTTCATCACTGAAGTGGTAAACTCAGGTCAGTTTATCATGACACAGACACAAGTAAAATTGGAATGGGATTTAGACAGCCAGATTGGTTTGTCATCAGTGGTGACTTCGGCATTTTACCAAGCTTTCAATTTATTAGTTGATTTATTGTTATTTATATTTATTCCTGTTATTCAACTATGGTCATGAGCTTTGGGTAGTAACTTAAATAATGGAATTATAAATACACTGTGGCCTAAAGAGTTTTCTTTGCAGGATGGCTGTACTCAATCTTTAGGACAAATAAGGGAGCATGGAGATCAAGCAGGAGCTTGGAGTAGAGCTGCTGGGTTCCAAACTGAAAGGAGTCATTTAAGGTTACTTGGGCACAGACACCTTCATTGGCAGCAAGGAATCCTCTGTAAATGTACGTCCAGGCACATCCAACTGGGAGGAGATCCCTCAGAATCCCCCAGGAAGAACTGGAAGACATGACTGTGGAGAAAGATGTCTGGGCTATTTGCTTAGCCTGCTGCCACCACTGCATCAAATCAGTGGATGGATGGATAAATTGCACCAAGTGAGCTCTGCTTTGCTCATGGAAGGCAGTCCCATGTACTGACTGTTTAACATGCCATTGTCTTTTTAAAACAGGCACTGTAATTACACATCAACTGCATGTGTAAACTGAATAAATGGCATAGCAAAAATTTGCTCTGCGCTGTTATTTAGGTAACATGGTCTGAAGAAATTTGTCACAAGGAGATTAAAAAATATGGATGATCTGCAGGCAAAGATGAACAAAAACAGAGGGGAGGCCAAGAAAAGCATAAAGTTAAAAAAAGAGTGATTCAGATAGATACAAAGATGAATGAAGGACAGAGGAGTTAACAGAAAGGACAGGAAGTGAGGACTAGGAGGTAAAAGACTTGAAAGAGACAGGAAGAGCTGTTAGATGGTGGAGAGGGAGGACAAAGCTATACTGAGTGACTCACCAGGACAACGTGTACTTGTGTATTCTCTCTCTTGTTAGGCCAAAGAGACAGTAGAAGCCTTGAGTGAGTCATAAATTGTGTGTGTGTGTGTGTGTTTCTGCATGTGTAAATAGTTGTATATTTGTGTCTGCAAACGCACATAAGCCATGATACTGTATCTCCCCTTTTCATTAAAAGTGTATGTGTGTTTTAGAGGTACATCCTCTGGGGGATGGCCACACACACACCAACACACAAACATTGGTATGGCTATCTTTGTGAGAACAGTCATTGACATAATACATTCCCTACCCCCAACCCTAACCTTAAAGTGTCCATGGCATTCTTTTCTGTGCTTTCTGACCTATCTACAATGTTACAGCAATGAATTATCATCTTAAATGTGACTGAAAGTTCAAAAGTGAGGTGTACCTATGTTTGTTGTACTTCTATGCAGAAGCAACCTAGTCCTAACCTTAACCCTAAAACCAAGTCTTGACCCTCAAACAGCCCCTTGAAGGGATACTAGCCAAAATGTCCTCACACTGTTGGCCATACAAGTACATACACACAAACAATACTAATACTGAAGGATATTAGTAAAAAGGGGGTGGAGTGGAGGAGCTTTGTATGTGTGTCTTGGCATGTTATAAAAATAACAGTTCATTACACTCAGGCTTAAGCAACAAAGGAAGCAGCACAGCCACTAGTGAGTACATACCTGGACTCACAACCAATTTAACGTATACAGAGGAGAACGCCTACCCTCTCTGTCTCACTGTCAAACACACAATAACATACACATCTTTCTTAAATTAACATAGCACTTACCCAGTATGGTGGCCAGGTACTGTAGGATCTGTAGGACATCTTCCTCTGAACCAGAATTTTCTAGAAATGGGCATTTCTCCTCTCTCCTCTTTCTTCGCCTCTCCTCACTGCCCACTTCTTGACACCTGTCAAGAAGCAACACATGCATAGGATAAGCCACAGTTAGCCTTCAGATCAACATATTGGTATTCTAATAGCAGGATATTATTTTATGCCAAAAGCCAGAGTCAAAGACCAAATGCCAGCTTGCACTTCTAATGAATATAAAAATATGGTTATAAGTATGGTTCCTCAGATTTATAATTGCTCATTGAAATGTTTTCCAAGGGCATTTTTGTTCACCTCTTAATCTGGTTTGGACGGATGCATGTCACAGAAACATTACAATTTAATGGAGATGGGCAAAGAAACCGGAAGGACATATTCAAAGCAGCAACCTCATCATCACTGTTAAAGTAGTTTCTTTTAGAAAAGTAAACCTGTGTGTTTGAAAACACTTCTAATAAAGTACAAATTTCACTTTGTCTTGTTGTAGTGGATTTTGTTGTCTTTTTCTCCTTATTCTGGGCAGCAAATTGCTAAACAGTGTCACTGGACCTTATACATCCATGCATCAGACAGTGTTACTGTTGAAGGGAGAACCACAGGGGGAACTATGAATATGAGCAAAGATGTGGAAATTTGCTCAACTCAACAATGACAATAATGGAAGAAGCAAGCTGGTCTTTCACTTACATACTGTATCTTTATGTCGTCAGTCACAGAATTAGACTATAGAACATCTGGTCACAAGCTTTTTTTCCAAACTCTACACCACTAATATTGCTAGCAAACAATCATAATAAAGATATAAAACATTCATATTAGAACATGCCTAAAAATACACAAACTCGTTATCTTCTGGGAATTCTGCTAATATTTAGGTCACTCAGTCACATCCACATAGAGACTCAGAAACCAGCGTAACAAAATGACAATTGTGAAGGCCACAGAAAATTCTTCACTGCAGAACAGACTAAAGTGTGTCAAAATATGATTTGCTTAAACCAGGGGTTTAAGAGAAGACCTTTAGTGACAAAAGCTAAGGCCTTGCAGTGAGAATAGGAGTGAAAAGAAAATAGTGTCTGTATTTGTATTCGGTATGTGCAGTATGTGGACAGTGTTAGTACGTGTCGTGCTCGGATGAATCCTCTCTGCTGAGTTTTACTGTTCTGACAGTGAGAGAGATACACAGGCAAGAGGTGGAGGACTGTGTCTATGCCTGCCTGTATGTGTGTCTGAAAAAACAGGGGAGAAGACTCTCAGACACTGAACAGGTGTGTGCGTATGTGTGATAGACAGCCTGAGAAGTGAGAAAAATAGAGCCATAGGGGAGAAAATGAGTGATGGGGACGTCAAAATAAGACAGCAGGTAGACAGCTGGTGACAGAGAGAGTAGCTGAGGATGGCGACAGATAAAAGGGGATGGGACTGAGGAAAAGAAGCAGCAAGACAGACTTACCTGATCTCTTGTTGTCTGTAGAACTGCAGAGTTCGCTGCAGAGCCTCCTGAACAGTCTGTGTCTGTAAGAAGAGGTAAAAATATTACAAATGTGTATTTGTGTGTGTGTGTGTGTGTGTGTGTGTGTGTGTGTGTGTGTGTGTGTGTGTGTGTGTGC